CTCACTCACTCTGGGCACCAGGTTCTCACATGACGTTGAAGGTCATGATTGTTTTCAAACATAATACCACACTCGTCACAGGAAGGCATGGTCTCGTCTTCTGACTCCACAGTGTTCTCAGCTAGTTCGGAGATGTTCTCCGTTTGAGTTTCTGGTGTGAAATGGTGCGGAGGTTCAGACTGCTTCCCTTTTATAGCTGTGCTATGTGGTGTTCTCTGACTTATAGGTTCAGTCTCTGGTATGAACTGTTGGCTTGTGTTAGACGTCCTCTCGACTACAGGCTTGTTCTCATTCCAGCTCAATGTTGGTATAGGCTTCTCTTGATCTAACCTGGCTAATATATTTGACTGTAACCTGTTTGCTTCCAGCGTGATAGGACGTAAGTCAATGGTTAGATTTCCATATGGCTTTTGGACAGCTGATTCATATGCTGACATGAACCTATCAGAATTATTAGGATAGATGCGTCTGGCAAACAAGTGAACTAGATATCGATCCACAGGAGAGTTAAATAAAGTCACGTAATGAGAATTTAGAGCAATGTCACGTGATTCCTTCCCTCTAGGAAACAAATTTTGTAATAACAAGAAGATAATAACATTCTTGTGATGAGAGGTTCGTGTGAACAGCTGTGAGATACGTTTGTCATCTTTAGCCTCGGCCATTAGGTCATCCAAAACAATCATATTGTGGTTTCAAGCATCCAAGAAGTCATCGTCGGTAATATTGTATGGAATTCCCTTCACAAACTTGACATGAGGTAACTGTTTACTGATTAGTTGATAGAGGGGTTGCCATTGAGTATAACACCAGATGATACTGGTAGGCTTAGGTTGATTTAACCCTTGCAATAATGTATTATATACAAATACACTCTTGCCACTCCCACTTGGACCAACGATCACTGCATTAGACGGGATTGTAAACGTGAAGGCTTCATTTGAACTTTGCTGCTGCTGCGGCGGCGGTGTCACAGGTGACAAACCATGAATGTCTTTTATGACAAAGTAAGACATCTCTTCTTGAAAATGTCTTGTCACATTCTGAACATGATGTTGACTCCATGACAGTCCATATCCAACTGACACTGTTATTATACAAAGTTTTGTTTTATATAACACGTTAATCTGCTGCAGAGAATATGTACCCGGTCATTGTAGTTCTTCTGTTTGTTTTGTACAAGATGGGACAGTTATCCATATTGGGGGTAGCTTAATCTCCAGCTCATAGACGGAACGATGGTTTTGCTCCAAATGAGTGACGTATGGCATTGTCTGTTCCTTACATAGCTTTCAGGTCAGCCTCTGGGATCCAGCTGTTAAACTTTTTGGGTAGCCCATCCATTTGACTAATACCTCCTTTCTGCCCGTTGTCTTCCTCTTTTTCAATACTTTCTCTACCCGCCAAATAGCATCTTCAGGTTTATTACCCACGTGGTGAAGATACAGGTGGTAAGATACTAAATCCGTACGTCACACATGTGTCGTACAAGGTTGACCTTGTTTTTTTCGTTTGATTGGATAACCGTGACCTCTGTCACACCGGGACTACTTTTTTCATTCATAAAGAATCGCGAGACATCATTCATTTTGCAACCACAAGGCAGAATGGACGAAATTAATGAGAACGAGTGATATTTACAAACACTTTATTAAACCAAACAAAATAGTCACACGCATCAAATTCGGTTTGCATTATATATTAGTTATGGATAGAGCTTCTACAGACATTATATAATCGAGCTATATCCATTTACAATGTACGACTACCGATCAATAGAGCGAGGGCCCCCATGAGCGTGACGCACCCGACCACTTTCGCAACTTTCAATTTGATTTAACGTAAAGGGATAAGCGTGGTGAAATGAAGTATGTTCAAACTATCTGGACAGATTTTTAGACTTACTTGGGATGATCCGGTTGTGCCATCAGTGTCACCTTCGAAGCATATTTTGTGGCGCTGTTTCGGGGGGTGTTGTTCATGAATGAACGTACACGACTGCACTACCAAATCACCAAAAGTGAACAGTTCTGATACAAATCATTCGAAAACTCCGTGTAAGTGTGCCTGACTTCTGATTTTGTGGCCCCAAACATCCTAAATGTGAACAATAGCATTCCCTATCTCTAGCGTAAAACGCTGTGAGTAGGCCTAGATCACGGTTGTCTTTTCTTATTCCGGTGGTGACCTTGCCCTTCGATCGTTCGAAACTGTCACTGACATGCAAGCAGACTTGAGTTTGTTGATTTTCACGTCTTCAGTATAGGGTGGTACAGTTAACATGAATGTCTTTGGCGAACACTCTGATTTCCCTCTTCCAAAATGGTACGAATATGATAAAAATTCAGCTGATAGATCAAGGAAACCGAACCATTTTGATTGCACAGACGGGACACCGGTGCGAGTGACCGACTGTTAGTCCCATATTCAAAGCGCGGCGCTAATGTGACTTTTCAAATTTTCATATAGATCTAGGTGTCCTTCGTACTAACAACATCGCGCTTGAATTACCTTAGTTGAAGAATTTCTTCCATAAGGATCTTGAGCGTCGGTGCTGTTTTGTTTGCAAACACAACTGCAGGGGCATGGTGTTTATGCGTATGCATAGACAAGTCAACAATGCCCATATTTGGGCATATTTCAATATTCATGCGCAACCAGATTTTGCAATCGGTTTCAGTTTGGTCTGTCAACGAACGAAAGTTGTTATGTATTTACACTTAAATATATTTTTAATGTGGGTAATAAATAAAATACCACACTCATTCTCGTTAGATACCATTTTTACGAAACTCGTGAACTTATGTCTCGCATTCAGAGGATAAGCGAAGTTGATACAACTGGTACATACTCCCGGCTATCTAAATTGTAAACGAATGATATCTTTCTGGCACAAATTAACATATCAAACTGGTGTGTATAAACTTTCACAGCTGTTATATCAATATCTGTCAATTAACGGGAACAAGACTATTGCATCAACAAATCCCTGGGTTAGATGTGTTATGGATATATTAGACAGTATTGGATTATCTTATGTATTTAACAATCCGTCAATCTGCACAACAAAGTGGCTAGTGTCAGAAGTAGAGCAAATACTCAAAGATCACTTTTTTCAGAAATGGAGAAGTGACGTTAATTCTAGTTCCAAAGGCTTATACTATAAACATTTAAAGGACACTACGGTTCTCGATAAATATCTTCTATTGCGAAAACGAATAGCAATTCCAATACTACGATTTCGAACCTGTAATCATAATTTACCTAATGAGACTGGCCGATGGAAAAATATTCCAAAGGAAAATAGAACTTGTAAATTATGTAATTCCCCATCTATTGCTGATGAATTTCACTACTTATTCAGATGTAATTATTTTAAAAGAGAGAGGCGAACATTTCTCTCACCATATTATACTGAATGGCCAAATATTATAAAATTTGTAAAACTCTTATCAACAACTTACACACAGGATCTAAAAGAATTATCGAGATTTATTGTAAAAATGTCCATTAGTATTAAAAATGCTAGGTAATCACATGTTGTTATTAATTGCCATCTTGTCTGCTTTTTGTACATATGCATAATTATTTATTGTAATATGCTCTTGTACCACCTTTTGTGGTTTCTGAGAATAAACTGATTCTGAGTCAGATTCTATAAATAATGAAAATCCCCCACCTCCCCCGGCTCCCCCGACTCCCGGTCCAGAACGCCCTTTTTACTATCATCACCATACCTTAACATAGATTATAGCTAAAATGGATAGAATTATCATAAAAACGCCCGCATGTTATCAGAAATGAGCGGGCCACTGTAACTTGATAATGCCCTCATATTACTTGACGACGGGCCATTATCACGCCCGTTGTTAGGTGACGTCATAGGATAGGGATAGGTGACGTAACGTTCAATAGTTACGTCATCTGGTTTGTTCTATGACGTTTCCATATTTGTAAAAGTGGGTCAGTGACATTCGTGTTGAATGCAGTAAATGTTTCAAAATCGACATTGTTGTTTCATTTTATTTGATAACAAATTCCATCCATTTTAGCTATAATAACGGTAACGCTATTTTTCAGGGCATTATCATTTGCAGAAGCCCCCGGTCTTTTCAACTGCCCTCCTTCGTCGGGCAGTTAATGGAAGACCTCGGGCTTCTGCAAATGATAATGCCCTGAAAAATAGCGTTACCCCTATACTAACGAGTTGTTTTGCACTACGGTACTCTGGCTCGGTAGCCTACACGAACACAGTAAACACATTTCACAAGTGTGATGATATACGGCTGCATCACTTCATAGTGTATTATAATGTCCGCTAGCCAATAAACCCACATTAAGCACGTTAGTATACTTATCATAATATACACAAAAACTGCACAAGCACCCCTTGTATAAAAAACCCGGCTCTTCAGCCCAGAGCAACATCACATTATCGTATGGCGGCACAAACAGCAGCTTAGAAAAAGGTTAGAACATTGAAAATGCAATACTTTGCGCATAAAGAATATTAGGGCTGGGACGGGTAACTCGGGTACTCGGGTCGGGTGGGTCCTGAGTAGGATCCGGGTACCCACAGGACTACCCGTTCCCGTGGTTAGTCACGTGATACATTGTTTGACGACAAAAGATTATCTTGACCTCTACGGTTACACTATAAGTGACTAATGTTTGCATTTCTTTTTGACAATGCACACATTCCTTCTGACTTTATATGTATGAATAAAGATAGAGAACTTCAGTCAATTACAGTTTATGCATGACGTGTATCTAAATACATTTTGCCAGGGCTACGGTCAAACTATTCCCAGTCCGACATTTGGACCTATCTCTTGAGACCTACAGCGGGTACCGGGTAGGGTCGGGTAAAAGGGGGGTTAGGTACCCGGGTAGTACATTTGGACTCGTCCCAGCCCCTGCGAAAATGAAAAATTCAAATCTTCACACACACGCTAAATACCCCTGTTAAACGCCACCTACCGGGGCGGACAACTCACATCAACGCTGCACACCGCTAGGAGAAAGAATTTCCCTTCTAATTCATCCTTCAAACGAAGAAATAATATTTCTCCTCACCACCTCAACGGCACAGCAGCGGTAAAACAACGCAGAATCATTTACAAAGATGCGGCCAATGCAGCGCATTAGAATCCTGAACAGTCAAACCTTATAGACAACGAAGCATAAATAGGAAATACGGTAAAACCAGTCGCGCGTGCACCAGCGTCACTCGGCACATCTCGTGCATGTCTCGAAAGAAGCAGGAGCTATGAAAGCGGTACAGTTCCACAAATATGGAGACCCAGAAGTGTTGCAGTTGTCGACGAAAGTTGCCAAGCCCACTCCTGGCGAAAACCAGGTTCTAATACGTGTCATGGCGGCGGGGGTTAACCCACTAGACACTTACGTCAGGGCTGGGGACTTTGAGGAAGTCGCCTTCCCGCACACCACCGGATTTGATACTGCAGGGGTGGTGGAGTCAGTTGGCCCGGGGGTCGAGACATTTGCCCCAGGGGACAGAGTGTACACGCTGAAGACGGTGACGGGAGGATGCGCAGAATTTACAGTGGCTGATCAAAATTATGTGGGTCATCTTGACAAAGCCTTATCATTTGAAGAAGGCGCGTGTATCGGAATACCGTATTACACTGCATATAAGGCGCTTATACTACTTGCGCGAGCAAGACCGGGCGATAACGTTCTTATCCACGGAGCAAGTGGGGGAGTTGGAGTAGCGGCGACTCAGCTCGCCAAGGCACGGGGGATGAACGTTAACGGCACAGCAGGTACCGACGAGGGGATAAGCTTTGCTAAAGACAATGGCTGTATGAACGTTTTTAATCACAGGCTCAGAGGACACGTCAATCAACTTGTAGATGAAACTGACGGCGGTGGATATGACGTCATTATAGAAATGGCGGCACACGTGAACATGAGCAATGACATGGAACTTATGCGACGCAATGGAAGAACCATAATTGTTGGCTCAGCCGGGGAAGTGAATGTCAGTCCTTCAAACACCATGGAGAAGGAAAGTTGGTTCAGGGGGGTCAGCGTCCTCTCGTCATCCCCTGAGGAACTGGTTGAGATCAGGAACGCCATTGAAGCAGGTCAAAGGTCAGGTTGGGTGAGACCCAGGATCGACTCGAGCTTCCCAATGCAGAAAGCCAGTGAGGCCCATAAGCTGCTTACTTCGCGGAAAGGCGCGAAGGGAAAGATAATCATTACTGTATAAAATAATGTACAATATTGAGGTCAGGTTCGCATGTAACGGATCATTTTCATGATTTATCATATCGTGAGTGTTTTTAGAATCACGACTCAGATTTCCTCTCATTTAAGTGTACTTGTATGTAACTGGATCCATCTTTATTCTTAAAGATTAAAATTGAAAAGAAATATACGACAACTCTTTCCACCTTTTTTTTGCCAACGTAACTGCAGTGTGACATGTTTTAAGTAAATAGCAAAGGCTGTAATTTTACCTTGCTGCTTAGACTAAACTATTTACGTCTTAGGAAGATCAATATTTGGTAAAAAAAAGTTCTCAACAATATATATGATTTACATTTGAATAGACTGCTACTCCTCACTTTCACCACTATCACAATTTGTACACGCAATCAGACTCCTGTGAAACTCTTAGGAGGTTTATTTTTTAATTTGGGGCACGGGTGGCACAGTCGTCTGAGGCGCCGCGATTCGCTGTGCAGAGTTGCGTCCCTTGGGCACGCCAGAAACCTATGATTGTGGGTTCGAACCCCGGTTCGCTCCGATTTTGTTTCTGGGTTTGTCAGCACCATACCCGTGCTCGTGGGTTTCACCAAAGTGGTAAACGTCTGAGACCTGCATCACTTCGGGCTTTCCTCCCACATTTAGCTGACACGCCGTGATATGACTGGAATAATGTTAAAAGCGTCGTTAAACCCAACTCACTCACTCACTATTTTTTAATTTAATTTTGTAACGGCGTTCTAAACTTACAGAGTACCCTTTTAAAATATGTATCTGTATTCACGGTATGGAATAGCTGAACGGCAGATTTATGCCCTCCATTCTGAACAGATAACATAAAAAATGGCAATTTGTATGACATACATGCAGGTTAAATGAACACAATTAGGCCCACAGGTATGTAATGTTGACTATGTCTTACACACGACTTAGAATATATACTTTACTGTATACTGTAACGATATCTATCAATTTTGTGTAATTTAAAGGTCAAGTTGCCAGTAACATTGAGCCAAATACACACTGAAATTTGACATCATCTTTACAACAGAAAATGAGGATGATATTGCTCATGGTACTTTAGGGCGGTCGGGTAGCCTAGTGGTTAAAGCGTTCGCTCGTCACGCCGAAAACCCGGGTTCGATTCCCGACATGGGTACAATGTGTGAAGCCCATTTCTGGTGTTCCCCGCCGTGATATTGCTGGAATATTGCTAAAAGCGGCGTAAAGCCATACTCACTCACTCACTCATGGTACTTTACTGTATACTGTCACGATATCTATCAATTTTGTGTAGTTTAAAGTAACATTGAGCCAAATACACGCATTGCGCATGGAATATGCAAATCCTCTGTGTACGTCGGAAGGGATCATCTTGATATTGACACTTCGGTGATTTTCATTATCCACAGCACCGCAGTAATTGTGATCAGATTGAGACTGCGTCGTCTGCAACGTGATGAACGTCTACGGGATATTGACCAGCTACAACTGGCTGTACTCCGCGAGACGTAGCCAATATGTTCAGTTTGTCCCAGGCTGTGATTTGCAATGTTAAATGTTAAGGGCGCCCGAGGTCAACTACGAAAATCCAGGAGCGGTTAATTAGAGTGAGTGAATATGGTTTTACGCCGCTTTTAGCAATATTCCAGCAATATCACGGCGGGGGACACCAGAAATGGGCTTCACACATTGTACCCATGTCAGGAATCGAACCCGGATCTTCGGCCTGACGAGCGAACGCTTTAACCACTAGGCTACCCGACCGCCCCCGGTTAATAAGAAACCAGGCTACAAGAAATCGAGCCGAAACAGCCAATCAAATCGCTGTTCACTTGCGCTAGGCCACCGGAGTTCAAGTTACTTTGTTTGTTGTTTAACGCCGCACACAGCAGTGTTCAAGCTATCTGACGGCGGTCTGTAAATAATCGAGTCTGGACCAGACAATCCAGTGATTGACATCATGAGCATCGATCCACCCAATTGGGATCGATGGCATGCATCAACCAAGTCAGCGAGCCTGACCACCCGATCCCGTTAGTCGCCTCTTACGACAAGCATAGTCGCCTTTTAGGGCAAGCATGGGTTGCCGAAGACCTATTCCACCCCGGATCTTCACGGGCCTCAAGTTACTGATCAGACAATTAGAAAACGTCTGATCTCATGATCTCAGCTAATCTCATGATCGGCGACCAGATGTTGTACCACCGTCAACACATCAACACATTCTAGCCAGACGCCGATGGTGTTCAGAGCGTAGACACTGGGGGAATCGTCGATGGTAAAGTACAATGTTTTCAGATGAGTCCAGACCGCCTCCGTGGTCTAGTGGTAGAGCGTCCACCCGGAGAGCGGAAGGTCCGGGGTTCGATCCCCGGCCACGTCATACTAAAAGACGTTTAAAGATGGTACTTGTTGTTACCCTGTCTGGCGCTCGGCATTAAGGGGTTAAAGCAAGGACTGGTCGGCTCGGAGTCAGTATACTGTGTCTGAGTGGGGTATTCATGTTAGACTGCGGCATGGTATCTCAGTGTGCTAGCACTATAAGTCGGCATCAGTCCGGTCTAGTACAAGCAGCCACACACACGCACACGTGCATGCACGTCGCTATATAAGTGCAATAATCTTGGACGCGACGTTAAACCCAATTTCACCTCACCTCACCTCAATCCAGATACACTCTGTAGTTTCTGTATAGGCGTGGACATATCTATAAGGCCAAGACGAACGTCATGCGGACGGCATGAAGGCAGCGTGACAGGTTTAGGGTGGGGCATAAAGATATGGAGCGGGACCACGTGACTGCCAGAACGCCACTGCATATTGTCCATGGAGGGGTCACTGAACAGTCCTACCGAGATAACATACATGCGCCAATCATGGCAATCTCATTAAAATCAGACCTTAGTTCTCGCTACCGCTAAACAAAGATCTGAGGGCATCCCATAAGGGGTCACGTCAGAACGACCTTTCACCCGACCAATCAGAGCGTCGCTTACCAGATCATGAAAGTAACATAACACGGGCTATTCCGAACGATAGTTACGGGCTTAACGACTGAATCCATACAATCTAGACCATCTATTAGCCATTCCAGAATGTTTTTTTGTTCAGGTTTCAAAATTGTTTATCGAGAATTTGTCAAAATATGTTTCGAAGCGTAGTCGCAATCACGAGAAAGCTGCCTTCTGATTGGCTAATGTGGACTTCTTGTCAGTCATTTCATTGGTCAACGCAATTGGGATACGATGACATGCATCAACCAAGTCAGCGAGCCTGACCACCCGATCCCGTTAGTCTATTGTCATCCTACTGCAATTGGTCTTTGAACCATTTATTCATATTTTCAAAGTTACTGATACTTCGTTGGAGCTCAGAAATAGAAGACAAGGAGAAACACATATCTATCACAAACTCCTATCTTTCAATCAGTTTGGTTTTGTATACTTTGACCTTGACATTGGGATTGATCCTCACGGTTACATCGCCAATGCTGCCTACTTGTTAATTTTGAAAAATCATTTGTTTTTCAACTGTACATATAATTTGTTTAGAGCTGCGTTTTGCATATGGAGAAGATGTAATTCCGAACTTGGTACAGTTGCTTTCCAGTATCAGGATCAAGAGAAAGGCTACCAATCTTGAGTGGTTCACTACTGTGGGTCTCTTTACAGTGGTTTACTACCTATTGAAAGGTATTCATGCTAAAATTACAGTGTTAGCATTTGATATCTGGCTTTAATGGTTCCATATTACTATAAAATGACAAGAAATCGTATTTTGTAAATTATTCGTGAACATGTAATGCAACCCCCGTTCCATGTATTTTTCGTTCATGTAAATGAGGTAATTCGTTTAATGCGTTTTTAAGGGTATACCTTTTTCAGTCCGAATAGCTACTTCCTGAGACCGAATTTTGTTTCTTACTTAAACGTTTCTTTCTGTTTTGAATGAAGATTGTTTATATTTAGAAAATAGGTTACTATTAGCAATATCATCCTCATTTTCTGTTGTAAAGATGATGATGTCAAATTTCAGTGTGTATTTGGCTCAATGTTATTGGCAACTTGACCTTTAAATTACACAAAATTGATAGATATCGTTACAGTTTACAGTAAAGTACCATGAGCAATATCATCCTCATTTTCTGTTGTGAAGACGATGAAGCCAAATTTTCGTGTGTGTTAGAACGTTAGGTTTTTGTTCCGAAATCGTTCTACCTACGGCCGTCCTTTTTCAAATAAATAAAAGCGACAAAACCCTTTCCATATTCATAAGACATCTCTGTCAAAAACAGATACGATTGTACGATTTCGACTATATCATGAGCATGTGTCTATGAATCACTATCAAATAGTTATGATACCCGTGGTCTTTCTTCTGACGAGATGTAACATTTATATTTCGTTATCCCCTACTTTTGGGGAGTATGTACACAGGGGATCCCCACAGCTCATCCAGACCCTAAAGATATCCGTACTCGAGAGGATACATGATAACCACACATTTAATGCCCATGGCGTAATCCGTTCAACGAATCACAGTGTTGCTGACTTTCGGTGTCCCTCCTTTCAACGTTTAGGATATCGTTTAAATGAGTGAGTGAGTTGGGTTTAACGCCGCTTTTAACATTATTACAGTTATATCACGGCGTGTCAGCTAAATGTGGGAGGAAAGCCCGAAGTGATGCAGGTCTCAGTCGTTTACCACTTCGGTGAAAACCACGAGCACGGGTATGGTGCTGACAAACCTAGAAACATAATCGGGGCGAACAGGGATTCGAACCCACAATCATAGGTTTCTGGCGTGCCCAAGGGACGCAACTCTGCACAGCGAATCGCGGCGCCTTAGACGACTGAGCCACCCGTGCCATCTCAGGATAATCAAGATAAAAGAATTAGTTAGATCAATGCAGTGAACATCTTCTACATGAAAAATACTTGTCAAAAATGTAATTTGACTTTCATATTTTTTCAAAACAACAGCATTGCTGAATTTCACGCATTAAACAACATAGTGAATTATTGATATTACCAGACGTTTGTGTACAGAATTTGGTGTGGTGGTACATTATTCACATATACATCTAGTGTGCACATTTTAGTTGGTATATTCTGTCATTTTTTGCTAAAACTTTGAAACATTCTCTTAACGTGCGCACGTTAACAA